ACTATTATTTTTATATTCCCACACTAATTGTATAAGTAAAGAGGGTTTTCACACAGTATTTCGCGATTAATGTGTATAATATAACTCTATTACAATAGAATATAAAAATTATGAAATAAGAATGAATTTAAGTTACTAAGAGAGAGGCACTAAAAACCCGGGTGCGCGCTTTTGTCTCAATATTTACGAAATATTCCGAATGTTCCAATGCCCTCGTGTCATGTGCCTTAATTTAAAGATACAACCGTGAATTCTCAAGTAATGTAGTGTGTGCGCTTGCCGGAGAGTCGAATGTAGTAGTTTGTTCAGAGAGCATCTGTTTGTAGGCCCCCTTGCGAGCTACGAATAAACTAGTCATTAGATAATTTTTAATCTTCACCAACTTTTGTAGACGCTAGACACACCACGCGAGAAGAGTAATTTATTCAACGCCTTAAAAATGGCTAGATAAAAGAATAAAACTATTGGGCGTTAAAATCCATAATGAACTTACCTAAAAATGGATAAAGTACAGTTACTGAATAGCTAAAATATTTAGCAAAAAACATTAAAATTTTGATATGAAAAATTATTTCTTTAATTAGTATATCAACTCTATGATCTTCTTACAGCATACAATCTAGTTGATGAATTTAATTAATACATTTAATTAATCAGTGTCTAAAGTTATTAATTTTTTGTTTAGGAGTATATATATATGACTTTACGATTTAATTAACAAACACACCCCCCTTAAGAGGGGTGTCTAACTTTTTTTTTTTGCTCTGACCGTCGGACAGGGATTTTGGTCTACGCACCCAACTTCTTACTTAAAATTTGCGATATTCATTTAACTTACTTTTTTAGCAATTTATTCAAATTATACTTATACATTTGAGAAAACTTAAACTATGTAAATTATATCTACTGATCTTATATTACAGACCTTATATATATTACATATATACTACTATAAAATTTTTTCCTTTTAACCTCTATTTTTTTAAAATGTAAGTTTATCTTTATATTAATTATGAGTCTGTCCTCTGAAGAAGAATTTCGAGCATTCATTGCTAACTTTTTTACTATTAATGAACTCAGGAGTGTTAGATTCTACAAAGGCAAAACTTTTTTTAGTTACTAAAAGCACCTCAGGACTAAATAAGTCTAAAAGGCGAAAGGAGCCCTTTAATAATACACCTAACAATAATAATGTATTTTCGGCCTTACAAATTCGAGAGCAACCAAATACTTCTGAAGTGGTGCTGGAAGATAGCGAGACTCTAAAGGTTGCAAGAGGCGAGTCTAGTCACGGGGAAGTAACTAATATTAAGGACAATAGTGGTAGTAGCAATAACTTCATGACTAATAATTCCCATACTGATTTCATTAATAATAATATATTAGTTAGCAACAACGCTAATAGCAATAAAAATTTAACCAGTAATAAAAATACAAATATCATTAATAGTAGTGATAGTAGTAAGTGCCCCCCTCCCCCCCTTCAAAGGTGACGGCAACCCGAAAATCAATAGATACTAAGCTTTACAAGACACCGTAGACATAGAGATGGGCAGCACTTCTGACACTGTACTTTTAAAAAATGAACGACCATCTACTGTAGAACACCCCCCCCTCCTCCTCCTCCTACGAATTCGTAAAGAGAAAATCTGACCTATTACCCTTTGCGAAAAACAAAAGTGGCCCTTCTTGAACAACTTTAGCAATCCAACGGTGCCATAATTCCGAGGTCAAGAGATTCGCGTCTTGGAACCAAGATATTTCCGACAACAGCTCAAGAATGTCGTGCAATCACGGCGAGATTGCGCAAGCAAGAATTACAACATTTTACCTATCAAATTGAATTAAGGCAAGACAATAATGTTATTCGTGGAATTTATTGCGAACTCGATATCTCCACCGTCGAGGCGGACCTGCACGAGCAAGGCAATCACACCCCTTCGAGTGGCACGGATGCACACGGACACTGTCAATGGCGAGCAGAAGAAGCTCCTTACCACTAGTGCTGGCTCATATACCCAGAATGGATTGACGAAAGCTTTTAGAGATGAAGACTAATTTCCATCTTCAGATCAAAATAGAATAATTTCGAGAGAGTAGTGGCGTTGGCCAGTGCTACCGCTGCCCAACCCTTTGGGCACGCTGCAAGCTTTTGCGTTGGTACCTCGATGCGTTAATTGAGGGAAGGGTCGTTTGTTCGCAGAGTATCAAATCAGAAGATTCGCCAGACATATGGACTAAGTTTACACCTAAGAATGATAAATCTTTAGCAGCTACCATGCCTGCCAGAATAGCAGCGGTGCTTAGGGCGAAAGATGTAAAACCATATTAAACTACACATTGGCGATCTTGTTCTAAGCCATAGATGTCAACCATTTTCCAGGTTCTTACAATTCATTTAATTATAATTACTTTGTAAACCTAATTACCGTCTTTTGTTACATATAATGTATAATTCAGTAATAAAACTTTCATATCCTTCTTAATCATTTTTTTTTCCACGATATATTAAATGGCTGTTCCCAAAAATTAGTCGTTGGAACTCGTAGTATACTTGGTTCCCATACATAAAGGTCACTCGAGCTTTGAATCAAACTTTAAGTGGGTACCCCTTTACCACACTTGTTTAGAGCTCATTTAAGTGAAAGTGCGCATAGTTCACACCACCCTCTCTCTCTTTATTATACTAGATCAGCCTGTGTAATGGGTGCTCTCTACAATTCCTATTATTCGCGGTTAAAAAGCTCTGCCTTCGAGCTGAAAGTATTCCTGATATTTTTATAACTCGTCTTCAGTTGATATCACAAAAGGACAAAGGTTGGCCTCCCTTTAAAGTTTTTCCATTCACCCATAATAGCTGCCGCCCTGCCCAACCAGTTTCTTATTTATATTTACACAGGTATTTTCTAATGAAAAATTCTTCTCGAACTCACTTATGTCTTTTGATCAACAAGTACTTAATGTACATTTAGACTCGAGACGGCCCAGAGCCCGTACATGGCCTCAGTCCCTTATTCTTGGTTTCTTATCCTGATATTTATATCTCAGTAAAATTTTCCCTGCGTTATTAAACTTCAAAATTCCATCATCCAAAACTTTTTAACTACCATGCAGGGCCTTTTACTCTGCTTTCTGTAAATCCAAAATACAAGTAATCGCCTACGGCGACATCCTTTTTTTAAAGTCCCACATATCGTTTTGCTATTTCATTACCCTATCAATCTGACGTTTTTTGTCCTATCCCTTTCAATTTTCTGATTTTACCGAAAGATGTCCCCATGTCTTTATGGGGATTTTTGGACTTATCATTGCCCTCGTTTGACAATCCTTCTTTAATCGTATACATAGGAGTGACACCCAACACGTTAGGGATTCTGTTGTGTTTATAAATGTAATCATCTACTAAAGCAGGCCCTTCTCTTTCTCTTTCGTAACTAGACTTTAACAATGTTTTTTTGATAATATGAATAGCCTGTTCACACAGAACATTGGACTGAGGGTAATTAGTGGTAATGTCATTTTCTTCAGCCCCTAACTTGTTTCAGAAATTCCTTAGTTCTTTACTTATAAAGTCAGACTGCCGATCTAAAGTTATTTGTATGGGTAACGTCAATATTTGAAAATTAATTGTGTGTTTACTATATATGCTTTTGCCCAGACATAACGAGTGTTTCTATTAACTGTCATTAAAACGACGCTGTCATACCTTCTGCGATTCTAAGCATCACCATTTATCAGCGGACAAGTGTTCTATTAGTCTTTTTAGCTTATTATTAATCTAGGTTTTTCACTGGACTTACGTCTCTCCTTTCTAAACCTTTGAAAGATTTCGCATTCATCGGCAAACCTTATTTACCAAATTTTCAAACTTTTATCTTTTATCACTTGCGTCAGCCTCCATTTATCTCTATGGAACCACTCTCGATGTTTATTTTGTACTTTTTTAATTTATACCAATTGTAAGTTTATTTATCCCACTTTCGCAAACTGTTTATACATTAAGCATATTCTTATCAGTGGGTAAGCAATATCTTAAGTCGGCACGTTGCTTTTTCCCGGAATATATTTTAAAACCCAATAGGTATTATAAAAGTTTTGTGTACTTTGGGAACTAGGTGGAAGGCTTTTATGGTCAGCTATATAACCAGTTACTAGCTAATAAGCTGAATGTAGTCCATAAATTTACTCGCTCGCCACGCCACCGCAAGGCTTCCCTATTGGTGACACTATACTTATTCTAGCGTTATTAAATTTAGGGCTGACTAAAAAAAGCTATGTATGCAATCGTCCATCATACCTTTAAAATGACCTCCCCATACTGATATTACTCGCCTCTGTTTGTAAAATTAAATCATAATCACTATATTCATTCTCCAAGCATAATGTTTTCTCTAAAGGCCATAATATGGTCTTCCATGCGACTTCTTGCTCACTATGCCATTCAAATTTTGCCTTTTTTATTGAGCTCGAGTAAGGGACTCAGTTACGAGGGCATTATTAAGGATATATTGATTCCCAAAGTTTAATGGTTATATAAAACTTATTAATTTCTCCCTATCATTTGGACTCCGCTTGGTTTTTTGACGAATTGAAGACTAAAGCTCATATCAATTAAAAAAAGGCTTTAATATATGAAAGTTAAATATAATTAATTTTGGGACATTATATAAAATGAAACAAAGTATAAAAATAATTAAAAAAGAGGAGTCAATATATAGTTCACTAGCTTCCTCAGCAATTTTTGTTCTAAGAATTGAAGTATCGGGTGAACTATTATTAAGATCCGCGCATTACTTGCATTATTTTATGCACAAATGAATATAGATTATACTGTTAGGATAATTGCAGCTGCTTTAGGAAAATAAACAGACAACGTTTCGTTCCTACATCTTTGTCACATGGACAAACAAGGGGGGAATTAAAAACCTTGGACTTTGCGAGCTAAGTTTTTAAGCGATTACTACTAAGCTGTAGAAGTCTAAACAAGATTGCTGCGAAGACGCTATGGTCAGAGGTTCTAAGAAGGAGACAACCAAGAACAAGGCAAAGTTTCGAAAAACTAAGAAACCTTTAAAATTTGAAGATTCCCCCTCTTCTAGCTCCCAGTTAATCTCTACCCAAAATACTTCACCAGAAGCTAAGACAAAACCTTTAGAAAGTGTAAAAGATTCTAATGATACCGCAAGCTCTTCCGCTGAAGTTGAAGTAAATAAACCCGACAATACCATGGCTGACGCTTTGCCGGCTTCTCACCCCACCAATCCTTCAGTAGTTTCTGCAGAAGTTTCACTCTCTAGCACCAAAGCTAACCCCGCCACTTCTTCCTCTCATATAAAAGAACCTTTAACCAAAAGACCCAAGATTTCTAGAGATTTTTCAAGTAAAACACGAAAAAATAATCCCATTTTAAACATTCAAGCTGTACATAAAAAAAAAAACACTAAACCAGAATCGTCTACTGCCATGAACGCAACTACTTCTTCTTTGGTCCCGCATCCGCTTGGAGCTAATGAAACATCACTCGGCAATATATCCACGACTGGCTCCACTAAATTTTTAAATAGTGCTAATGCCTTCCGCGTTCTAAACAAACTGGCTAATAGTAACCCTTCCACTCCACTTTCCATGAAATCAAAATCTACTGCATTAAACTTATCTACGGTATCTAAACCAGGCGGCCAGTCCATTGAGGCTTTACAGGAATTATTGAATTGCAATATATGTTTCATGTTACCTGAGACTGAAATTTATCAATGCCCGCACGGTCACTTGTTATGCAGAGATTGCCATCAGCGAGTTATCTCGGAAGACGTTTCTGTATGTCCTACTTGTAGGGTAGGAATGAGTCGTTTGCATCCATCTCGAAACACAATCGCCGAATCTGCTCGCGATCAGTTACCTATAGCCTGCCCAAATAGTGGTTGTACGGAAATTTTAACTTACAATTCGGTTATTATATTTCTTCTCTATACTTTATGCTTATGCTTATTTATAGTTATAATTCATAGGTCAAGCAACACGCAGAACAGGAATGCTTGTTCCGCACGGTAAATTGCCAGTATGATAAACTAGGTTGTTCTTGGAAAGACGTAGTTTCTAAAAAAGAAACACACGAGGTTTCTTTATTTTTTTTTTAAGTCGATGTTCATTGCGTGTAAATCCTTTCAGACTGAGTGCGAATTTCAAAATATGCTTGGGAAGGACATACTTTCGCACGTCAAACTGAAGGAGGACTCGCAGGTTCCTAAAGGCAGCTTAACTTTCTTTTTAGTTGTGAACTTCCAAACAACGTTTACAGAAAGAAGCTGAAACTGAAACAAAGGCAGCTGCCGAACTTTGTAAAAGGATTATGGATCTTTTATCGTGTCGTTGTCGACAAGTCATAGTCCGGGGTACGAAGACAAGCGCTTAGCGTTACTACTATTCATAAGTTGCAATATTATGAAGACGTTCGTCTGGAAAGAGACGCCTACGATCACACCATCTGCAGCACCCCTTTCTCTGGACTTGGAGAAAAATTTGTGGTAAGGGTCAGGAAAAAGTCAAGAAGTCGTCCACTGGGCCTGCAGGTGGAGCGGATCGACAGGCTCTCGTTGAACCGCCTTCCCCTTAATATTGTTATAATGAAGGGGTTCTTCTTTTTCATTTTTATTCTCACTATTTTCCAATGTGCGCTCCAGACCGAGTCTTGCGTTGGACCTTCTTCCCAGCATCCACAAGTGCTACTTTAAAGCAAACGTGCATCGCTCGCGCTTGCTTCCGCTCCCTCTCAACGAAGCCGAGGGCAAACGGTTTATTGAGTGCCACCAGATTCATTTGCGTCTTATATTTATTGACCAGCGGGCCGGTTTGGAAAGGTCAGAGGTAGAAGACTCACCGCTTATCCTTCTATCACCCGTTTTATTCTATACCAGGCGGTTTACTTCGCTGCGGGACACCCCAGCGGTGGACGGCGGCCTCGGTGAGCAGGACCCCGGCAATATCTCCATGACCGACTCTGAAGGTTTTTCTGGGCTTCCCCCTTCTTATGAACGGCATTTCTTGATCGTCTCGGCGTGTAGGAGACGACCGAGTCGGCGACGACCCTGCCCCCTCCGCCAATAATTCGTATCGGCCTTTTGCTTATTTTTTTTCCCGTGCTTACATTCTTTTTTTTCTTATTATGTTTGAAGATACGGCAACCGCTACCGAAGGCGCAACAACCGCGGTACGCCTGTACTAGCTGGTACTTAAAAATGTACGTCTTACTCCCACAGAATTTTTTGAATACAACTATGATGATCCGGGCCGCGACCTCGAAGAATACTCTGAAGACGACTACGACGACGAGTATACAGAAGATGAGGTAAAGCTGCAGAGCTCTACGGCCGCGCTTATAATATTTTATTTTGACAGTATTCTGAAGAAAACGATGACGAGGTACTCTTCATATAAAGTTCTGTCCTCTCTGCGTCGAGCCTTGCCGTTCGTCCGCCCCGTGCGTTTTGAATACGTTGCCTCTCGGGGTGCTTACCGCTATTAATTCTCTGCTTATATATATAAAACACGCGGAAAAATAAGCATACGTGCACAGCTCAATGAATCTTTTGTGATTTTTGCTTGCGATCGGCGTCTTGCACAAATTTTTTTTTACTGTACACGTACTGACAATATAAATTGGATGCATTTTTTTTATTCACGTCAGTTTTTTTAGAACAATAAAATTTATTACTAGCTTCGTCCTACTAGCAACAGGATGGTTTCTTAGATGCTTGGGATGGGGTCAGTGATGGGCTTTCAAGGAAATTTGGCCGTTCTTCTATATGTTTAGTGGAAGCAGTAGTGTGTATATCTCGCACGGTTTTTTGAAAGGCTTCTTCAATGTTCGCATCCTCCAGCGCGGATGTTTCAAAAAAGTTAAGATTTTCAATTTTGGCAAAGTTCTCTGCTTCTTCCCTCGAGACTTTCCTTTCGTCACAGGATAGGCAGCGTTAGAGTACAAGTTTTCTTTATAATAAATTTTACCTTAAGTTTTGGAGATCCCTTTTATTTCCCACCAAGGTGATAACAATGTCATTATCTGCATAACTTCTCAATTCTGAAAGCCATTTCTTAATGTTTTCAAACGACTGAAGTCTTGTAACGTCGTAAACTAGCAATGCCCCGATGGCACCTCTGTAGTATGCAGAAGTTATCGCTCTGAAGCGTTCTTGGCCCGCTGTGTCCCATATTTGTGCCTTTACATTCTTGCCTTAATATTTATAAAATACACGTATAACTTTTTTTAAAAATGTTCCTCGAAAGTTTAAAAAAGTCTATGTGCTTTTTATTTTTTCTCTCGACAAAGTTTTTTTAGTTATTATAAATTAGTTTAAAAACCTGGAATAAACAAAATTTTAGGTAATATATACATGTATACCTTCAACAGTGATGGTCTTTGTTGCAAACTCTACACCAATGGTGGATTTACTCTCTGGATTAAAAGAATTTCCCGTGAATCTCCTCAAAATATTACTTTTTCCAACGGCGCTGTCACCTAGAATAATGGTTGTGTAACTTACGAAAGTGTGTTTAAATTGTTAAATTAAAAGAATTTATGTTGTCAGTTACGAAACAACGATTTTAGATAAGTTAGGCACCTATAAGAACAATTTTAAATAGGTAGTCATAGGCATCTTTCTCGTCTCCCATTGCCAATTCTTTGGACTGACCAAGCACAGCTTAGTATATTTTACTGAAGGAATGTCGAGGAAGAAGGGTGAGGGCAGAGGGGGGGGTCAATTAACTATATATCTACAGCTATACAACTAAGAGTCTAAGACAATGATCACATTTAAACTGCTTCTTTGCAAGACTTAATAAAAAATTCTTACTTTTGTTATAAATAGTAAATAAACATTGGCACTATCTTACTGGTGTTGAAAAATTTGAGGAGGTCACTATACAATTTTTCTAGTGTGTTTATATTGCTTACTAAATATATTTAAATATATTATAATGTACTGTCTGTTGTTTAGTTCTCCAATTCTTATTAATGATTATTATAAACAGTATTTAGTTCGCTACTAGATATAAAAAATTATAGTCAGAAAGATTAGGTAATTAAAATTAAAATAAGACATTATTAAACTTAGAAAAAATTTTCAGTTTTCTATACTTTAAAATTATAAAGAGTAAAAAGTAAGAAAAAAATTTAAAATTTTTTATTAAATGCTTGTAAGCAGTCCGCTTCCTTGCGCCTGATTTAAGTTCTCGCTCAGGCGTCGCTGATAATCTCTTCATAACCCAGCGTCCCTATATTAAATTCTTTTAGTAAGTACTAAGTGTTTTATTTATCTTTCTCGTAAGCTTTGTTGATCTTCATTTAAGCTTAGGCCAACACTAGTTAGTATTTAAGTTAGGGAGAGCTATGACCTGCTTGAATTAATTTACACAGGCTTATCCACCTACTTCGGTCACTAACTTGTTTAAGTAAGCCAATCATAACTAGCCACTCTCTAGGCGTCTACTTATTTTAAACTATCTATAATATAAATAGTTGATATTTTAAAATTCCAAATGGGGTATTTCAAGTAACGTCACCTTTACTCTTTCTTTTTCTCACAAAAAGGATAAATTAACACTATAGAGTTTAACCAAGTTATTTACTTTATAAATAGCCAAACGAATTTAAGTTGTTCTTAAAACACCACAATTTTGTAGTGTCATCATGAGTGTATAACTCTAAGAAATTCGGTTAAAAGGTAAAGTTGGGTACCTCCTTATAAAGAACTGAAAGCTGCGGTTTTAAGTCTCTTAAAATTATTTATTTTTGTTTCTATAAAAGTCATAAAAATTATATAACGTGGCTTTCAATGAACTTGAACGATATCACTTTACAAAAAGATTATTTGGATTAAAGAATAACTCAGAGTGGAGAGGCTAGAAAAAAGCGCAGGTTATACGCACTTAATGCGACATCCCAAGAAGACTCAAAACGGTCTGCTGGCAAAGTCAAGTAACAGAAAAAGTTATACACTTTAGTACTAATAGTATACATCTAACAGTTTTACTACCTTAGGATATAAAAATTCGATATAATTTAAGGTATCTAATGGTTTTATTTTTAAACCCTCTTCTTTAATATACACTTTTTAAAATAATTTTGAAGCAACTATATAAAGATGGTGGTTTTTTACCAAATTGAATTTGGTCCTTTGTTACAGTGCTTTCATAAAAAACTATAAGAAAAGAGTTTTGAGATGAGTTTTACAAATTTTTAAAATTAAAAATATTGGTTTTTCACCTAATTGAATTTTGCCCTTTATTACCGCACTTCTTAAAAAAGCTATCTAAAAAGAATTTTTGAGTATTATAAAATTTTAACGATATTGTTTTCACGTCCGAGAACTTATTTATAATAATTACTATTTATAAAGTAGAGTTTAATGATATGTTACAGACTAAAAATTATTATAGATGTTATTAAAAAACTGAAATACGCGTCATTAATTTTTGGTAGACTGGAAGTCGCGAAGGTATTACGGCTACGCCGTTCTTGCTGAATGTACGGGTTTAAAATACAGAAGCCGCGCTCAACTTTAAGGAGAAGCGATTAGAGGCCGGGAACTTGTGCTGAGATGATCCACTTGTTAGTACGCAAAGAATACAAAGGATAACAGATGTAAAGACCATCACATCTCTGACACTAAGTACAAATTAATTATCATTCTGGGCAAGATAGTCTAGTATACTGTCGGATATACAACCGCAAGACTATCTCCTAATTTTGTCTTTTATATTCATACACTATAATTAGGTTTACATATAAAACTTTAATCCGGTTTTTTCAGCCTTGAGCTCTTATTTTTGGTCTCTCAGTCTAGGACTGTAAGAATCGAAAGTCAAAGGTTTAACGGTTTTGGTCTATAAAATTATAGCCAAAAAATATATATATATCGGCGAGTTAGACAGCAAGGGCGTCTGCAACCTTTCCATATTAATTTACTTGGTAAAAATTGATGAATAATAAATGATTTTAAAAACTTGAAAAGTATTTTTCAAAAAACCTCCTCAATTTTTCTAAATGTTTCTACCTCTATCAGGGAAATAAGGATTTTTACATTAAGTTAAAATACGTTGAATTTCACCCCAAGTTATCAAGGACGGCGTCAATACTAGCGAACGGACCAAGACTGAAGTATATTGTACCTCACAAAACACACGGGTTAAAATTAACGTATTTCTTAAATGGGTGTTTAAAATTTAACATTAACAGTTGTGCTAGTAAAGATGAGCTCTCATAGATAGTAGGATGATTGTAGTATACCAAGAGGATGTAAAATAAAACACTGGCGATTGAACTTCTTCTGTAAACTCAAAAATTTTCCACTTAAACCACCTTAAGTCAATGCGTGATTTACTCTATTTACAAGAATGTCATAATAGAACCACCATTTCTTTAAAAAAATAGCTTATTTACATGCAGGGCTGCTAAACAAGTAAAATTAACTAGGGCTTAGAACAAGAAAGAAGTAAGACATAACCAAGTCTTAAATGTTCACAAGCGAGAAAAAAAGTTAGAACTTAGGGATTTGAAATAGAAACAGACTTTGGAAAAGTAGAAAACAACGCCCAAGTTTGTATTTAAAACAGGAGAAGGTAACAGAAGTACTTACTAATTCTTTTTATTATCGTCTTGCCTTACAACTGGAGTTTTATCTTTCATAACTTATACTGCTTGATATACAGCACTACCAAGAGGGCCTCAGGAAGATCCATTTTACGCTGTGTTTCTTATAAGGCCATGTACAACAGAAGGGGAGCAGTGTTAACTTCCTTAAAGCTCTTGTCGTTTTTAAATTTTTTAGTAAACATAAGTGTATGGGCTTGGAAAGGTTAAAACCGTGAAAATAGCGACTATTATCAAAATGAGTCTAGTGTTATAATTGTTTATAATTTAAATAATATGCGGAATAGTAGTTTGAAAGATTTTTTTTTTTCACTCTGGTATAAAAACCTTTTACTGGCGTCCGTTTGAAGTATTGCTCATATGGTTCAAACTCACTAACGCGAAAATTTCACACAAACCAAATACCCCTTATACATATTATAAGCTTATTTTAAAAAGCTAAAGTCTACGAAGCAGGTAATTAAGGTCAGACTACAAACTTATAACCCAAATTAGGACTAGTAATGTCTGCTGGGGATAGTGGAACTATAAGGTCAAATGAAGAACGCAGATTGTCCCTTTCCCCTTTCTTTCTTTGTCTAGGCCCTTACTGGTTTTGTGCGACCTAAGCCTTTCCTGCGAATATTAGTATACCGGGATAGTTTAAAAAAAATAATAGTATATATTTCGTGTTAAATAAGTTTTATTTTTCATTAGTCACGTGTATTTAGTGTTAACGCTAAGGCCATGTCCTATAGTCACGACTCTTTAGGGTAAAATGAATCACGCGTTTATTTAAACCTAGCAATACAGGTGCAAATCCTAGCATTCCACCCACTCTTCATTTTATTTGGCGAATCAACCGCGTCCTCTACGCGCACAGACTTAAGAGTAAAACGGTCTTCCTATACGGGATCTCATCCCTTGTTTAAGTTTTTAATCGATAAAAATGGTTCCAGACCAATTCTTATCTGGGTTCATGGTTCAAACGATTTAATTTCACCACAATCCGTCACAGAATATTTAGTTTAATTTCTTAGGTATTCAATCCATAAAGCGCCTTTCAACTAAGCTAGAATTTTTAGATAATGTGAGATTAAACTTTCAGGAAACTAATATAACTGATACTTTTTTCATAAGTAAGGCTTTATTTATGACCTCCACTATACTTAAAATCTGTGAAATTCTATATTATCATGTTTATAAAACTGAGCGGCGAGGAGGAATAAAATTTACTCCTTCCACAAATCTTTTTTTTGCATTGGAAGGAATTACTTCTCTTCTGCATTCTTAAAGCTGCAGGAAAGTAATCTAAAGTGTGGATAGTCTTTTATATCGCTTTCACAATGGTTAACTTTTGGTATGAAACAATTTCCTATTGTTTTAATCTTGTGGGAAAGTAACTTGGAATGTAACAGAATATTTAGTTTTAGAAGGTACACGATTGCTGCCGAAGAACACCAGATTCTTCGTGTCACCAAAGGTCTAACTTCTCTTGGTATCAGTTTCATTTCAAAATTTGCTTCTTTTTTGTGGTAAATACTTAGGCGTTTAGAGGTGTTGTTTTGTATTAATGGGAGTTACTAAAAAAAAATACTTGTAAGGACAGTTTTATGGTAAATGTTACCTTTGGATAAATGAGCTTAAATAGTGTCTCCCAGTAAGTAATGAAGGTATGCCAGTCACCTTTTCTTGGGTACATAACGGGTTAGTTTAAAGATGGTAACTTCGAATTAAAATTTTTATAAAAGGTATTTAGTTCACTACCTTTACTAGTTAACTTGTAAAAGGCTAACTTTTTGCGCTGAGCTCGATTTTCCTTATTTTCTAATAAATCCTGTTGTGAAAGGGATAACACACTTGAAGTTGTTAGCATTTTCATAAGTTGTTGAAAATATTACACCAGAGATCTAGTGAGTATAAAGAGCAGGAGGATAGGAAGGATCTATAAATAAAATTTAGCTGCTGGGCTATAATGTTCTTGATAGGGCCCTTGTTATTTAGCTTCTTTTTTTTGTTGGACCTAGAAAACTCTTCTGCTAGCAAAAAAATACTGGGTCACAGCTCAATATAGTCCATGCCAGGTAGCTCTGTATAAAGAACTTAATGTTTTTAAAGTTCAATACAGTTAAGATGTGCCAGACCCTCTTTTCTTTATTTGTAAACCTTATATAACAGCTTGTAGTATTATTAGGGCATTTGTCTCCGGTTGGGTTTCGATGTCCTTATATTTATTTATATTAAGTTAATAAGGTACAGCCAAGCCTTAACCGAAAAGAGGGCCTAAAATACTGTATAATCTAACTCTAACTTTAAAAGCAAATGTTCTCTAACCGGTGTAAACACCTATGTCATAGGTTATGTCTTGAACAAATAAATAGTTGAGAGATGAGTGATATATTTATTATAGCTTTCTACAAATATTTGAAAAACGTCTCTCACTATGCGAGTGAGCACCCCGTGCAAATCATGGGTCGCCTATTTACTCGCCACAGTCAATTTTGGAGTGATTTAAGTCGCTTTACGTTAAGATGCCTACCAAACGATCGCTCTATGGGTCAAGGTCGGCCGAAGATATTGACGATAAAGCTTAAATTATTGCGCATTAGTAAAAGACTTTTTACATCAAAGAGGACGAAATGCCTTAATTGTTAAATTCGCTTTGTTGGCTCCATAAAATTTGCTTGTCAATTCAAATTCTCATGTATTGAACTTCCCTGGGCCCGAGGAAAAATTTACAAAAAGACGAATTTGTTTGTCTTCTCCTCAGACGAATATAGATTTGCTTTTTGTGGGTTAACTGCATTTAGCTTATAAAAAACATGATTCCAGCGCAATAACCTGTTTGCATGTGTTTTAAAGTTTCCTGAGATGAGCAAGCTATTTCCACTTTAAAGGAAGATGGTTTTTGAAGCAAAGAGACTAAAAGGCAAGTATTTTCAGTGTTTTATACTTTTTCGAATGCTTTTTCGACTTTTAGAAAGAGTGCGCCTTCCGTAATCAGAAAAATGCAATCTATACGGAGACCACAAACTTTTTCGCCTAATTAACACCGCTTTCATATTGTAAATGACACTAAAGGCTTACAAAACAGTAGTTTTTAGAATTTGAGGAGATGGACTCCTATTTAGAAATGGACAAGCCTGCAGTAACAGAGTCTTCCTGCCTCTAGAGGTGGGTATTCAGTCTTTGGTGTGCTGGGAATGTAAAGTTTAATAAAATTAACTCGACTAACGAAATAAAGCTTGGCGAAGCGAGCTGAAAATTATTGCCTTCCAAACTGCACATTCTTGCGCGATGTTGACAAGTAAACTGGCCTTCAACTTTTCTTCAAATGATTATTTCAGATGACCTACACCTAATAAAAAGGTGTTAACGTAAACTCTATTAAAAAATATATTTTTTGGTCTTTATGCTGTACTTTCTCTGGTACACCATAACTTGTAAACGGCCGAATAGTCGCGATAAACTGTAACTTCTTTAATAATATTAAAAGAGTAGGGTGATTACAACTTCTAAGTATTTAGATACTTTAGGTTTTATTGAAATTAAAGGTAGCGCAAATTTTATCGTTCGCTACATACGAATAATTTTGAATGATAAAATCTCTCGCTTAAATGGCAGCCTTGGCAGTTGTACATATTGAGATTCTCTCAATAAGTTAATAGTTTAAACTCTTTAGTAAAGCGACCATCAACACCTAATAACTATTCCTGCTGATTTGAGCGACGTAATGTCAAGATTAATGAAAAAAGACCAGAGCTTTCTTTAGTATCTAACTTACAGGGCTAATGTCTCCGAGAACTATATATTATAGATAAAAGGTATAATATAGGTATATAGTAAATACAAAAGAAACTCTAATAATTTATTTAATAATTTTCAAGCTGCCTGAAGAGCGCAACCCACACACCTGAAATAAACACAAAAAATAAAGTAAGAAATGCGTGTAGGCCACACCTTTTACAACACCAGTTTGTGGTGTACCCTCACGTTACGTACCTACATTAGGTAAAAGCGTTGTACAAATGCGAAACTGAAAATATTATCCGTTGGCTTAAACATTGTGCCAAGCCGTTTTTTAACTGTTCTGCAGTGTGATTGAGCTAACATAAAGTTGTTCATGAACGACAGCAAAGAACCTTTAACTGATTTGCGGTACAGCTATTGTTATTGAACATAACAAAGGCCATTTACTTATTTTAATTAACTTAAGCCTTCACTTCTAATTTGTATATTCCTTAACTTTATAGTTTCTTTATGGGTTTAGCCATTCTATCTTCTTTTCGGTCTAAGGATCCAAATACTCAAGTGGGCTGTTGCATCTTTAGTTGTGATGGTGAAGTAGTTTCAACGGGTTATAATGGTTTTCCTTGGTATTTTAATTATGTTTGCGACAAGCTACTTTGTAAGTTGGTGTTATCTTAAGTGGAATACCTGATGAAAAACTTCCTTGGGGTAAAATAAGTAACGTTTACACCGAAACCAAACACGCATACGGTAAGTACTGTGTACCTCATATATAATTAATATAGCTGACTATCTCGCATTTTTGGTAAAAAGTAATCTCAAAATGGCCCTTTAACAACTGTAAGAACTTTAAAAAAAAAAGCTATAAATAATTAAAAATGTAATATATACACTTTGTACTTATATATTTAGTATGTCACGCTGAAGCGAATTCTATCTTAAACCAACATCAAGCCGTTGGTAGTTTACGCGGCTGTACTGCCTGTGTTACGCTTTTTCCTTGCGAAAACTGCGCAAAGATTATAATTCAAGCCGGCATACATAAATTAGTATTCAGTTCTTCTAATAAATAATTTTCCTAAAATTAATCTACGAATTTATCAGATATATTTAAGCGCAAAAGCGTGTTGTAAAGAAGGAGAAATTGTTTCTCAACACCTTTTAAAAATGGCAAAGATTGAACTTGTAAAATTCAGTGAAACTGAAAAAAACACCGAACCCATTACATTAAGATTTGTAAGCAACCATTAAATTAATTTCAACACTAAATTGAAATCTGAAATTCTTAATCTATGTTAAATGCAAAAAAAGTTAAATTCAAAGTTTTAATAAAGAGAAGGATGCAACAACTTTAATTCATCCTTTCAAAAAGTTAAATTAAAAATTTTGTTTCGAACCAAATAATTGCTTAAAAAATTATCTTTCTTAAGTTGAACTGACTTTTTGACTTTTCGCTAATGTGCCGATTTTTTCAACTTTTTTAAAACGTACAGAATCACCGCAAGTTGCACGACGACGCTTCAATTTTTCAGGATTAGCCTTGATATTTTGTACTGACTCCGAACTTGAGAAGGCTGGATCTTTTTTTTTCCCGGTAGGAATTTCATTGCTTATATTAATTAAGTAAAATAATTTATAAATTTCCAATAAAAAACGAAAGCACCTTAATTTCTTTAGCTTGGCCACAAAAAATCCGTCCATATTATGAGTGTGGGGATAAAATCTTTTAGTCAACTTAAGAGAAGGATGAAAGCGTTTTCCAAGAAATCTTATATAAAAAATTAACTGAAAAAAAAAAACCATAAAAAAGGCCAAACCGAGTGAATCCGTCGACCCCAAAATCACAACCAGTTGAAATCAGCTTTACAAAGCGTTTCCGAAGTGCATAGTTAATTACTTCTTCGTTCTTTTTAATTAGATTTAGAAATAGATATAAATTAATAGTATATAAAAACCTCTTCAACAAGCACAGAGCACGTGGAGTACACGAGGACGCCGCCAGTGGAACTTTTAGCATCGAGGCTGTCGATCGCATGCAAGAGGAGCTGCTTCTGCGTAGTGGCCAAGCGGATAATTTCTAAGGAGCTTTTGCTGATCTTCACGCTGGGATCTTTAGAAACAACGCCACTTCCGCTGCATGGAGCATCGAGAAGAACACGATCAAAATTGCCAATGACTTTGGGAAACATCTTTCCATCATAGCTGCACACAATCGAATTTTTAACACCTAGAAAAAATTTTCCAAAACTCATTTTAATTTATTTTTATAAAAATAAAAACCCATTCTGTGAATGTTTCCAACGAGAGCTTTGATCCTTTTACTACTGGGATCATTAGCATAAATGATTCCGGTGTTTTTCATTAAAGCAGCACAGTAAGTGGTTTTTCCTCCGGGCGCTGCGCTCATATCTAGAATCCGCTCTCCTAAAAAAGTAGAAAACTAAAAAAAAATTAAGTTTATTACTATTTTTTTAACGAGCCTTCTTGCGGCTGCAAAGAGAGGACAGGCAAAAACGAAGATGCCGTTTGCAAAGTGTACTGGCCGGAGAGATATTCGGGAGTGGCTCCCACTGGAATGGGAGAATCGAAAACTACAAGACCCACTTTCGACCATTTTCCGATCGGATCACAGTTAACGCCTCGATGGATTAAAGCTTGGGCGACGTCTCGCCGGCGGGCTTTCAAGGTATTCACTCGAATTGTAAGTGGTCGAGGAACTTCATTGGCATCCAGAAAATCACAAATCTACGTTGCAACTTATTATACTGTTTTTCACTCAAAATTTATTTATGGTACACCTCAGAAACGCCAAAAATTTTAAAAAAGCTAAATAAAAGGAATTCATTGTATCCGTAATATTCGCAGAGATCACGACAAAGTTGCTCAGTATAATCCTGAAAACAAAATATTAAAAAAACCCAAATACAAAAAAAAAAACTAACCGAACGATGCGATCCTAGAGCCTTTAAATTTTTAAAGTTGTGTAAAACAGCAATAATGCTTTTAATGCGAGTATCAAGTTTAGTCATATCAATTGGTTGAGTTTTTTCAAATTCGAGTTCTTCGCTGGTTGGAAGTGTAAAGGGCTCTATACGTTGGCTATCTAAATCTCTTTCACGCTCGGCATCAATTTCTAATTCAAGTTTGCATTGGTCAAGTTGAGCTGACTTTTTTTCGATATATGTAGCGCCTTCGGCTTCAAAGTAGTTTGTCTCTTTATCAAAAAGAGCTTTATTTTTTAATATTGGTTTGGCCTCTTGAGCTAAATTAGAAGCTCTATTCAGTTTATATTAATTATTAGTGCTAAAACAAGAGTGTGTTAGTTTTAGCATAATTACTCCTTTAATTTAGTTTCTTCCTTTAAGCTCTCGACTTTAGGTTTAGAATGCTCAATCGATTCCTTTTTCTTTATTTCCCTATATATAAATAAGAAATAAAGTTTCATATTAACAAAAATATAAAAGAACCTTTTGAATTCTTTTGTTATTCTTTTTCTTTTTACTGGATGGTTCATTTTAATAAACGTAGTGGGTTGTCTAAAACAAAAATAAATTGATTAAAGAGATATAGTAGCGCATTCGGTTGTTATCTCACCTAACTCCCAGGGGTGTGATTCCTTTTGTAGAGTTAGAAATCTTTCTTCTAACGCTTTCTGTGTGCAAGTAACCACGTGGCCGACTTACCTAGTTCGTCCGTCGCTTTCGTAACTCTACTAGGGGCAGGGCTAAAAGTGGAAACATTTAATGTTTGTAGTTGATTTATACGCCTCTCATAAACGCAGAAAAATTAAACTTTTTGTTAAAAAGTTATTAGAATTTACTGTGTATTTTCCGAGATTTTCGCTCCTTTTCGCCTTTCCTCTCTCTTTTCCTTTGAGGTAACCTTTTTTTACTACTAGTATAGACTATAATTATGGTAATTTTAGTATTTCTCTCTTATTAAACATCATTTGAATTTTATCCACCATATAGGAAGCTGGGGCCTTAAAACAGTTCAACATCATATTCAGAAAATTTATCACTTTTATAATTGCAGAGAAGCTAAAAATTTAGAAACTGAGCTGTAGTGCTTATGGTTTAATACACAACGAAAGCGAGATCGGGCTGCATTTGAACTTGGGGGTAAGAAGACATTAGTTTTGAGTACTCTCTGCAGCTGGGAGTGACACAAACCACGCTTCCACTATTATTACATCTTCAAAGATTTGAAATTTGTTAACGTTAGATAGAGAATGACAGTGCCGAGCCGTTAGTACGTAACTAGTTAGTGTTCAATTGATTTTAATGAGCATTGTACGTAACCAAAAGGCGAGCTGCAGATTTTGAACCGCTAAATATAACAGTATCATCTGTATACTGTGCTAAGATCACTTAGGGATCTGTTGAGGGGCTCCAGCAATCAAATTTTAGAAGTTGAAAGCTATTAAATTATCTGTTTTCTAGATATGACCTTCTAAAGTATATTAAATAAAAGAGAGCGCCATTTTTTTAATAAGCTCTTGATGCCAAACTTCTCTACATCTTAAATATTTCTGTTGTTTGTTATCCTGTCAATAAACATTATGATAATGTGTCCCACGAACTTTGCATTTGCTGTTAGTAAAATATTTTATAATAAAACCGAATTGAAAGCTTGGTAAGATTATTAGCTAGTCGACAATTATTATTAAAGTAGAATAGTATAAAAGCTTATTTTACTTGTCTTACGAGAGATAACTGACTAATCTGATGACTATCTTTTTGCCGCTACATACTACTACTGGAGACAAAACCAAAAATAAAAAAAATTACTATAAAAAAAGTAGACGGCGCTTAAAATCTGAGTAAAATTAAGGACATGTTTTACTAAAATTTGAAGGGCTTAAGAGGGTGTACTTCTAATGACCTTAGATCTTTCAGTCCTTCATGTTTTAAATTGTAGGTATATATTGAAAATTTTTAGTTACCCCTTCTGGTTGTAAAAGGCATAGTTACTACAATGTTTAAAGTAATAAAGTTACATTATTTACATTAATTAAATTTAAGTGTAATATTTAAAAAATAGCTCTATTATGATTTTAACTTAAATTTATATCGAGTTAAATTATAAAGTTTTAGTAGTATTTACGTGATGTTAAATCTACATGGGGTCAAAAGAAGGTTGCGACGTAAGGAATAAGAAAGTAAAGGAACCATAACACGTGACATTTTGTTGAAAAACTAATGAAAAAGTTCGCTTTACACTTTTTTAGCCTTATGATGAGATGAAGACTGTTTGTAAATTTTCCGGACATTTTCACAAACCTTTTCGGGGCTTTTGTAAGAGTAAACCTCTCAATGATAACTTTAACACTTTGGCTGCTACAGACCTTATTTTTCAAGTTTCTTCAGGAGTTTACGTCCTATCTTCCTTGTTGCTCCGTGTTCAGAAAAAAGTTATTTTACAAAAAATTTGATAGTTATTGAAATATTTTATTGACCTGATTTATTAGATTTGTAAGATTATTGAAAAGTATTTAGATTGTGAACCTGTTAATGCAGTACAATGTGTTTTACCTTTATTACAGCCTGCCTCTATGTGGCAAGCTACCGGTTAATTTTAAGTGCTTCTCAGCTTATTTTTTTATCTATATTCTCTAAAAGTCTAAATTGTAAGGGCGTTGGGAAAAGTATGGCCCTGAGTTATTCCAACTTAGAGATCGTAACGATAAAAGCTTTTGTTTAGCACCTACTCACGAGGAATTAGTTACCGCTTACGTTTCAACTCAGTTGTGCTCTTATAAGTATACCAAAAATCTAATAAGCTACTTAAAAAGTGGAAGTATGTTGTTTAATCTTAAATATTTATAAGGCAGTTACCCGTTAAATTATACCAAATTGAAAAAAAATTCAGAGATGAGCTGAGGTATTTTATCTAATCTGTTTTAAGCTACTTATTATTTATTTATTCTTTTTATTATTAAAAAATTTCTAATTACCAGACCAGCTTATGGTCTTTATCGTAGCCGCGAGTTTCTTATGAAAGATCTTTATTGCTTTGATAGAAAGTAATAATACCATATATTATTTATTAGTTAGTTAAGATAATTCCCTGATCATTAAAAAAAGTTCGGAGTCAGCGCTGGCGACTTATAATATAATAAAGCAGACATATCTCTATATTATGAAAAACCTCGGTCTTGTTTCAGAATTTGTTCCTGCTAAACCAGGTGGATCCCTTATATAAATTAGCTCGTTATAATTTTTAATAAATATATATCTTTAATAAAATTTAAATGAGATCTTATGGGAGAGACTACTTCTCACGAATTAGTGACCGAATTTCATGTCTATAATTACTTTGTTTAACTTCGTTATATAGTTTATTATCTTTTAATACTCTTATAAGGCTGGCCGCCAGAAGCTGGTTACCTGCGAAAGGTGTTCTTCTACAACCTTCTTTGGGTATTTGTTTTTTATATTTCTTTTTAATAAATTATTTCCTCACGTACCTATAAATTTTCTATGAATTAGAAAAGAAGATGTTTGCGTAGTTTGCAAAAGGTATAAGATTTTTTATTTATATACATTCACTAAAACTTAATTATACTTAAAATATAATAGTGAAATTATAATTAGTTATTTAGCATTATTAACTAAATCTTTATAAATTTTTTTGATCGTATACATAAAAAATCACAATTATTTTAAAAAATTAAATTAAAAACTTCTTAGCAAAATGCGTATGTGGAACGGCGTGGAAGTGGGCCACTTGTTTCTTCTTTCCTCTTCCTACGTTGATTCCTTCTCTTGTCACTTTGTGGATGAATCGGGCGTACGGCAGCCTCCTATCATGAGCTGCTATGGCCTCGGCATCTCTCGCCTGCTAGCAGTGCTGGTGATCTATTTCCTTTAAGTAGCGCTCCTCTCTTCTCCCTCAATCGATCGTCTTGTTTAGTACAGGCCGACATCTATAGCGATTCGGAAGGGTACAGGTTTCCGCTGAGCATTGTGCCTTACAAAGTCGCTATTACGCATTACGGACAGAAAAAAGTGTTCATGTTTATATATCTGTTCTCCCCTATTTTTTATAGGACCACCTTAAGCAGGACGACATTGCCATTTTCGAAAACTTGTGTATTTCCGTATGCAACAGACTTCTAGCGGCCCTGCCCGATCTGGTGGACGAAGTTATTGTCGATGACAGGTTTGCTAAAACTACAGCGAAGGCCTGTTAGCCTCCCTACAGCGGCTTCTCTTACTGGCAGGCACTACATGAACCCCTCCCAAAAGATAGCAGACCTCCGTGGTTTGGGCTTTCCAGTTATAGTAGCACTTGGACGAGAAATGCTCAGAAGCGGGCAGGAGGCGGTGGAGGTCCGCCTACGCAGGGATAGGCGCAAGATCTACATACCATTTGATGCTCTGGACACTTTGGTGGAGGTGGTGAGGAGAGAAGTCGTCGTATGACTCCCGTTAGAGACACCGCAAACTGCTTTAATGCATGCTATAACTCAATTTTATTAAATATTTTTATTTCGTGTGTACACTTGTAGTCCGCAAGGAGGCGCCTGCCCTTTTAATAGAGTTAAAATAATAAGTAAATAAGCATAGACTGACCCTACTAGTTACCGAGCCTGTTGGGAGATCCTTTGACATTATCAATTAAGCCTTCTTTTGCATTCTTAAGTAAAGTTTGTAGAAGCAGTTCTGGTAGTTGATGTTCGTTAGCCAGACTAGAGGTCAGTTCGCTTAGCTGTAGAGCTAAAATTCCTGCACAGTCGGACGGGATTTAAGTTTAGTTCGTTAGATGTGTAAATAACCTTACCTGTTATATGCGGCGCTGCCTGCGAAGTACCGGATAAGACAGCAGTCCCTTGTATTTATAAGCTTAGTGCTCTTCAGATCAGCGTTGGAATCACTTGCTCACCTCCATCTTTAGATAAGGATAGTATTGTAGTCCCTGGTGCAAATATGTTCACGCAGCTCCCAAAGTTGCTGAAGGATGCTCGTCTGTCGTACGTATCCATTGCCCCAACTGTAATTGCCTCAGGTACTGAAGCGGGGCTTGTTAAACAGGCGTTGGTATCCTCGTTACCTGAAATATCATTTAATAAACCCTGCAGTAGGAAAATTAATTACTCGGCTACCTGCAGCAACTACTACGGGTATTCCATGACTCACAACAGCGCCAACTATATCATTAACAACATCGGAAATACTCATTCCTAGGCTCATGTTTATAATAACCTTGGGCTTTTTTCCTTTTATTATGAAGACTTAACTTAAACATTCTTGTTTGTGAAAAAAAACTATAAACCTGTTTCGGTTTTCTCACGCAAAACTTCTTGTATTACCCAATGAAATGCCTCAATGAGTGCTGATGTTGTCCCAGAGCCATCGGCCTTTAAAATTTTGACAGCTCTTGTTTCTGCTTTTTTAGCAACGCCGTATGTTTTAGAGCTTACGATTCCTGAAGTTACAAAATTAAAAAAACTCGTTATTGCTTATTTCATTTAAGACTTTTGACCTTGTCAATTTTTTTAAAACTGTAAGCTTAGCTAGTTTTTAATATTAGTGAAGTCGACTGGTCATGGACTTTTTACCTGCTACGTGGGTTCCATGCCCTTCAAAATCTTCGTAGCCTTCTCCAGTGAGGTCAACTCCAAATGATGCTCTTCCTTCAAAGTCTGGATGATCTACATAAATCCCTGTATCAATAATGTACACTTTGACGCCCTCTCCTTGGCTTTCAGGGTATACAAAACCAATATCTTCATAGGAGAGTTTGGGCAGGTTATAGAAAGGTGTCTGTTGCTGTAAGCAACTTTCAACTGTTAAAAAAATTTTGTTTTAAGGGGTATTACAATTTTAATAAGATGAAAACACCTTTTCTAAGCCGCAAAATTTTATTTCTTTCAATTCTTTTAAATACGTCTCTTCTATTTCGAAGTCTGTCATAAATGTCCCCTCTTGTTCTTACAATTAAAACAGATAACGAATAATTTCTTTTCAATGATTGAAAAACAAAAAGTTTGCTTGATTCCTGGTATATTAATAAGTAGAATAGAATGGAGGTGTTACTGAAAGTTATACATACAATTTTCTCGTAGTCCAAAGCTGAGGGAAGGTCTGTTTTAATAAGATAATCCTTTAGTGTTTTGACCTTATGGCGAAGGTTATCGTCAATGTTATCGTTAAATAAAAGAATGTACTCATTTATTGTCAAGTCCGTTTCTAAAGTAAATTGATACTATAATTTAGCTATAAACCTTATTTAAGTTATATATATTTAAAATCAGTTTTTAGAAAAAATTCTTGCCAGTAACAATACGAGGGGTGGTTTGAACATAGCTGTAACTCAAATTAAATCGGGGATGTTGTAAAGAAGCTTTTATAAAAACGGGTAACAAAAATATGAAAAACATTTCAAGTATCCTTCAATTACTTCTATAGTACTGGGTGTAAAAGAAGTTGTAAAAGCTTTCGAAAATTGTTTGTACGTTATTGGAAACTACCCTTTCGTAATCTAAGATCAAGGATTATTATATTATTTACAAACCCCCATGTTTTGTTAGATGAGGTAGAAATTTGAAGTTACAATATTTTATTAAGTTCTGGGTTAATAAGCAGAGATAAATATTTTCATGTAGTTTTTTATATAAAAGTGCAAGTTTATAAAAAAAAGCTTTGAGAATTAAATTATGTACGACAGTTTTGAAAACCTCTGATCACCTGTCAAAAAATTTTTTCTTACCTTAGAAGAAGAGGTCCTTAATTATAGTACGGGAAACTACGAAATATACCTTTTTAAACACAACAGTACAAACTAAGAGTTCTACAAAGCGACCAGAACCCCTTGTGAGATAGCATTTGGTCTAAACATTGCGAAATAAAATATTACCCTAGTAAAACTAAAAGAGTTTTCTGTACAATATAAAAAATTAAAAAAAAAAGTAAAATAAAAGTTTTTAATTATATATAGGCTTAACAGCAGATTTTTTACTATGGCGAAGGTAGTAATGAGACCATTAATAAGTTACAAAGATCGGAGGATAGGTTTCCTATCTAGAAGAGCTTAACTTTATATAGCAGTTTACAAAATGAGCAAAGGTTCAAACGCAGAAAAAATAATAAAGATTGACAAAAGATACCCGAACTTATAAGTTCAACAGATTTTATTTGAATTACAGAACCTTTAAATAAATACGGACAGAACGATAAAAAATATTTAGCATTAGCGCTAGTGGGAAAACTAGCTCTTATTACGCATATATTTCAAATTCCTAGGTTGCTTCAACATTTGGTTTTTAGAGGTAAATTAAAAAAATTAAATATTTTTTTAACTTTAATGATTTATATTACTCGTATTGTATCAATAAAAGTTTTTTCGTTTTAAATTAGAAGTAATATTAACTTAGCAGTTACTTTTAATGAGCGCAAGTACAAACACAGTTCTCGTTTCTTAAAGACATAACAGGAAAATTAAAATGCCTCTCCTTTCTTTCCACCCTTTTCTCACTAAGTCCCATTGCTTTAGAAACAGTATACAGATTTCAACTATAACCTTGAAATATTTTGCTACATTAAGTAGTATAATAGTTACCCTTTATTTTATCGTTGTTAATTAATTACGTACTTCAAGCACCAAAGCAAAAGATTAACTGTAGTAAAACCTTCAATACATTAATGATTGGGTACTACTAACACCAAGGCCAATTCTTTTTCAAACTTTGCTTACAAGCTACTTAAAGCAGTGTGAAAGCCCATCAGCCGAAGCCAAGGCCCACCTTAAGATAAGACAGTTGTCAATCGGCAGGAAAACAACTTTTACACCATCTTTGTTGAAGTTATGATTGATGCATGCTCCCCCATACTTAAGGCATATGATACAACTTACGATGGTATTTTATAAATATCAAAAAAATTTATTAGGTGCTTTGAATTTAAACCTGAGTATCATTAGTTACCTAAAAATAGAAAAAAACTAAAACTTACTTCCCTTAGCAATGTTTTACAAATAAAATTGCTAATACACCCTTCTAGGGTAAGCCAGTTCAAGGCCAGCCGACCCTATCTACTTACACTTTTAAGGTTTTTTCGGATATGCTACAATACTAAGAAAATAAAACTATTACAATTTAAAATTTCTTTTTTTAAGGCCTTTTATTATTACTTGAAACCGTTCTTTATTACTTAATTGCTCCTCACAGCCAGGAGGTGGAGCTCACGTTACTAAGTCGTAAAAGTGGTTAGCCATCCTCTTTTACAGGAATTTAGGAGAGCACAACCGGCACAAGTAGCTCCTTTTTGGTCAAGTACACTATTTTCTAGATGACTAAGGTGATACCGGCTCCATAGCACTAAGCGTTTTTAAAGCTCTTTCTTAAAATCCTTATGATTCATTCAAGTTAAATTTTTGGTCTTCACTCAAGGACTTATAGCTTCTCGATTTTTTGGGTGTTTTATATTTGTTACAAACATTTGTTTTAGATAATAACTAATACTAATATTGATATAGTTAAGTCAGTTTGTATTTTAATTATTGATTTAGTCAATAGACAATTTAACACTTTAAAAATGCTTTTTATTAAAGCATTGAAGGATTTATAAATGTCAGACGTATTCAAAGCTTTTTTTATTTACTTCCTATTAAAACTTATACCACCAAAGGTTTTATATAGGCCCTATTTATACTCTTTAATAACGTATCTAAGGAAAATATATTTTTACTGTAAGGACCTTGTCACTCTTAAAAAGTATTATTTTGGTTATTTTTAAGGAGTTTTACTGATATTTAACCTCAATCATATTTGACTGTCTTAAGATAATATTTTCTGCTACTCTAGTGTACATAACGGCCGTATAAGTTTCTCTGTACTGAGTTTTCTTCTTTTCTTAATACTATTAAAACTATTTTTAGGTCACAATTCTATCGTTTAAGGGTAAATATTCGAATTACAAAACGCCAAAAGGTGTAGCAGAATGACTAGTAGGACTTTACCGAAGAGAAAAATATTTCAAGAAGTTCGGAAAAACAAAATTATTTCTACAGACCTCGACGCGCTAATAATAACTTTTTACATCTACAAGGTTTTCCTAAGTTAAGAGATCTTTAGCATAAACACTTAAATTGAGAAACTATAAGTGTTTAGAAAAATTATAGAAGTCCCTACTGGAAAGCAGATTTGTATTATAAGGGTTTGCTTGAGAGAAGTTTCCAGTAGAAAAAATCTTTTTTTGAAAAATTTGGCGAATAAAAATTTAATGTGTAAATGAGGTTGGTGTAGTATCTTTTAAAACTTCACATTGTATAGTACTAAATACTCTTAAACAAAAGAAAGACGCAGAGGTAAATTATAAGCATAGAAGTAAATTTAAAAATTTCAAGAGGCTTGGAAAAAAGATAATTCCAAAAATTTATTAAAATACTTATTTTCTAAAAACTTATTTACTTGTTTTCATATTTTTCTCTGTTTCAAGTAAGGATTTATTTAGTTTCAAGAACATTTTCGAAACGTTCGTCATCTAAGGGGATAGGGGTAGAGAGAAAAAAGTTATATATCTGAAAAACAACGGTAACAATTTTGTTAATTATTACTGCAGTATAATATTGAGATAAAAATCCGTTAAATTGCTCAGTAAACTTCCATAATGCTGACTCAAACAATTGCCATTCAGTATACAAGCGGGAAAACTTCTTAGAATCATCAATAAGGCCTTATATGATATGTTAACGTTGAGGTTTAAATATATAAAGAGACTAGATACAAACCGGCGCAACTAAATTAAAATATATAGTAAATGGTAAAATCTATAAATTAGAGAGAAAGCACCATTGACTGCTTTTGAATTCAGGTATTTTTGTAAAGAGAGAAGATTTTGAAATTCTAGATTGGAATTTTTTATAATATCTTGGCAGGAATTTAGTATATATAACTTTTCGTCGTCGTTAAATTCGTTCTGGTTAGCTAAAGAAAGGAATTAAAAATAATTTTTACTTTACGCTGGAGTAAATTATAAAAACTCACATGGCCATGACGTTTTTAAGTCTAGTTCCACGGAAATTTTTTCTAATTGTTCAAATACTAAGTAAAGAAGTTCACTTATTGTCTTTTCTTCATTAGGTTTCGAGGTAAGAATTATATCCTTAGCCTTATTTTCACCACCGCTTTCTAGTTCAGAGTCAATTTCATCTTTTGAGTAACTTAAAGTAATCGTACCAAACCATTCTTCCAAAGCTATTATCCTTTCCTCCAAAAGATCAAGTGAGCAGTCGACCATATAAAAAGCTTCCTAAGTGCATAAAGTTGGTAATACTTGGTACGACCTAAATAGCGTATATCTACTAACCCTGCCTCTTCTTTTACTTTGTAGAAGCCCTATACCGATACCTCTCTTCCTTTAACATCATCAGCGGAACTAAAATGTTAACCAAGATGGTTAAGTTCTAACCTAACTCTAGCTCTAACCCTAATCTGGATTATTTCTTTTTTAAAAGTAAAAGTAAGTTAATACATATAAAATGAAGTATGCATGGATAAAATTATTACATAAAACTAAGTAAACTAAAAAAATTAGGAATAATAAAACATTTTAATTTGCTTTACATTATATAGAGCTTATAACTTGTTCTTCAGAGAAAAACTTTTTTTAGGTCATCAACGGTGTTGAGGGAGGCTACAACTTTTTAGCTTACTTAATATCTAAATATACATTCTTAATTCAATTAATTTTTTTTAAATGCCCCCCAAATACCACGAACATTAATCTTTATATATTCGCCTTCTTTCGTTAGGTATAAAACTTTTTATCTTTATAAATTATTAAGTGCAAATTTTGTAGCATTTAGCGGCTCTCGCGATGATCAGTAGGTAGTACTATATTAGTGTCGCGAACTCTAGGTGACTAAAATGGGGATATTGTAAAAATAGCTACACTTGAGAGTTGATCGTAAAGGTCTGTGTAGCTCCCAAATATTTCGGAAAATATTAAAAGATTTAAACTTCATACAAATTTTACAATTTTTTTTTAAATGTCATACCAGTGAACAGAAGGGTTTTTAGGTCGCATTTTTCTGTAAATAAAACAATTCTTATTATTTTCTAATATGTTTCCAATGTGTCTCCGTTTTGTTCTGTTCTCGGCACTTTCAGACTACCTCCTCTTTTAGTTTTATTATTAAGTTATTCCCAGCATCCTTTTAATTAAAAATCTTATTTTTTTTAACTACTGAGTTGTCTATCTGCACTAATAGACTCCTTAATTTAGATTTTTCTTATTGTCAAGTGCTATAGTACCTCCAAAAACTTTGTCCTTAAAGCTTAACGAAGAAGATGGAAGGGAGAAAAAGTGCCTAGGTGATAAGATAGCTATTATCATATAAATTTTACATTGGTAATTTATTTTGCTTGTATCTGAAAAAAAAAATTTAGGTAATGTTTTTTAAAAAAGAACTTATTCACCCTTTACTAAGCAAGCATTAAGTCACTATTAATGATAAGCACTCCCTTATATGATACCTATAGGGATGTTCTATTTATTTTTTGGTGCTTAAATAAAAATAGCAGTTACTTTAGATTATAAGATCCACAGTTCACAGTTTTTAACTAAATGTTTTCAACTGTAAGTGCTCATTTAATTTATAACCTTAATACTTAATTAATAATGGCAGACCTTTAGAGTAGTCTAAGTGTATCACTATTTACTTTTCTCATGCTTAAGAAATAGTTACTTTGGAAGGAAGGATAATGTCTTAAAGATCATAATATTAACAACTTATAGTAAATTAATAATTTTTAGACCACTAGCGTTATTGTGACCTTAGTGTGTATTTATTTTAGTGTGCAGATGTGCAGAACTTTTTTTTAACTAAACGATTAGATAAATTCTTTGAGTAGCCAACAGCAGTTGTCCAATAATATTGCTAATAAAAAGAATATAAATTTTTAAACGTGTTGGTATTGCTAACGCATTAAAACTACGATTTTAATTGCTGTAACCAAAAATTTTTTTTAACAATAATCACATAAAAAATTAATTGAAAAGAATTAAGTTAAATGATACAACATCAACTTTAGTATTTAAAGGTTTTAAGTTGAGTTTTTAGAAAAAAATGTTATTACGTTTTTATTGGTTTAAAAAAAAACCATCAATTGAAGAAATAATTGTAATTACTCTAAATTAAGACTTTTCTCAAGCTTCTTCCTTTATTATTTCCTTAAACTTTTCCTAACATAAAAGCTACTTTCAGTGTTACTGATGCGTAGTTAAAACTCTTTCACTACTAGTAGCTTTAGTATAGACCTTATTTCCGCGAGATGAGTACAAAAGTTTGTGAAAATAAGAATGTTTTTGCCGACGCTAAGTTTTCTTTTATTACCTCTCACAACAAAAATGGCCACAATACGAAAAAAGTATTTAAGCGAGATTTAAGTGTATTTCAGGCTGAAAAGATTACTGATGTCTCTAGAAAAGAAGATAAATTTAATGAGTCAAAGTTTGAAAAAGCTTTCTGCCGTTTGCAGGACTTAACTATTAAGGCCACTTTACGTGTAAAGGAGATCAATACTCTGGCTCTTGCCAAATTTGCTCAAAGAAATATTGGCAAAAAACAGAAAAGCGTAGGGTATTGCTATGCTCCACTAAAGGAAACTCTACACTTAAACTGCGAGAGCTTGGAATTTGAAGGTAGCCAGATTTTGTTCTCTTTTGTTTTTTTCTATAGATCTGTCGTAGGGTGCTGCTTATCATTTATTTTAAATTTTCTAGTGGAATCTTTTCATTTGAAAAAAAAAAACGGGGAAATGAGCCCTCTTCTAAGTAAAAAACGAGCGATTTCTTTAGCTTTTAGACTAGGCGATCAAGTAATTGAGATTTCTCCGAAAGAACTTAACTTTTTACCTTATAAAAACCTACTGTAAGCTTCAATATTTATGATATAAGTTTTACTAAATTATAATTCCTCATAAAAAATTTTTATCCTTAACAATTTTTTTTTACCAGCAAACTTAAAAATAACGATTCAACTCTCTACATCGCTGTGTATGATGAGAAAAAAACAGTTCAGCAGAAAATAGTGGGATCCATAAAAGGGGTTGATGGACAGGTTTTACTTATAACCTTTTCGCTTCAAATTGAATTTTAATTTACTTTAAAAACTTGTACTTTTGTTTATTTTTTGATTTTTTTTAAAGCTCAGCCTTAATTTTTTAGCTAAACTTTATTAATAAAAGGCTTCCTTGGTAGCAACTCTCGCGGTGCAGTTAGAAACTTTTAATGAGCAAAGTAAAGAATCTCGAAACTACTGCATCGTTGGCGCTCATCAGTATAATAAAAAGAAATTTTTACTTACGATGAAGGCTTGGAAACGGAATCCCAAAGTTATATTAATTCAAAATTAAAATTTTCAAAAATAATTCTTTGCTGCTTTTTATAATTTTTAAAACAGTAAATTTAAATTCAAATTATTAACCAATAAAAATTTTACATAAGTATTAAAAACTCTTAATTATTGTTAGCATAAAAGTTGCTTTGACTGTTTAATTTTTAATAATTCTTTATAATTATGTTGAAAAATAAGAGTAATACAATAACTATTCTAAATTTTATAAGTAAAATAAATTGGCTGAACCAATTCCTTTTAGATAATTTTTAATTAATTTTAAAATATTGAAGATCTTAATAACTTTTAAAAATTATAAAACAAATTATTAAAAACTTTTTATTTTACCAAAAAAAAAAATGCTTGGAGCTGACGTTAATATCGAACGCGTTGAAGAGTTTCCTGAAATAACTAATTTCTTTATACACTTTTAGAATAATAAATTATCTATAAGAAAAACGTATAAAAATACAACTCATCAAGGCGATCTTTTTTTTTTCAAGGAGAGTAAATCGGTAATTCTTTTTGTATAGATTCTACTTTAAAGAAAATAAATTTATTGTTAATTATGGTTTATATAAATAAAATTTACTTTGAATTTTTTTTTAAAAAGTTTATTTTTTTATAAAAAAAGTTAAAATTTATTGTTTAGTGGATTAAGTGTGTTAAAATTTAGTAAACAATTTAAACTTCTATAATTGTCTTATAAATTTGTTATTCTTTCTGTTAAGCAATTTAAAAAATTTTATAATTTTTCAGATTTTTTGAATGGCGGTATAATAGTATTATCAAGTTAATTTTTTTTTAATCTGACTAATAATAACTTTTTTAAAAATAAATTATACTTTTCTAAATAATACAGATTTTAAATTAATTTAGATGCTTTAAAAATTTTTAAATTTGTTTTTTTAATTTTTTTTAATAATAATTGAAGTTTTCTTTTAAAGGTAATTTTCTTACTTGTAAATAAATTTAAAGCTTAAAGTAAATTAGATTTTATGCTTTTTTTTTTTTAATTTATGATTTTTTTTTATTTTTAATTTTAGTGAAAAGATTTCTATAGTTTTAACTATTTTTATTAAAAAAGATTTGGATTACATTTGATTGCATTCTCATATTAAAAGTTAAATTTATAAGAATTCCGTTTATAAATTTTTAAATTACATCATTTTATGAAGTTTTTTTTTCCTGTTATTAATAATATTTGTACGGATTTATTTATAACTTGAACTGAATTGATTATGCTTACGCGCTAATTTTCATAACTTCAATTTTAAATGTTGCTGCTTTTAAATATTTATTAATTGAAAATAATTAAAATAATTAAAATTTGATAATTTTTTAATCTGAAAGTCATTTTTTTTATTACTCAATTTATATTTTTAACAATCTTTAAATTAATTTAAGTTTGGAATTTATCGACAAGGTGATTCCTTTCTAACTTTGATTACTATAGCAAGATTTTCCGGGTAATTAAAAATTTGGAATAAATTAAACGTAAATAACTTCAATTTCTATATTATAATTATTTTTAGATTAAACAAATTTTTTTTTTGGTAAATACATTTTTCAAAATCTTTACAATAAAATAAATTTGAACACGAAACATGCTAATTAACTTTTTTAATAAAAATTAAATTTCAATTCTTATAATCCAAATGTTTTGATTTTTTACCAAAAATAATTAAAAATATTTGTTATAAAAATTTTGAATCAAGATTAATTTAAAACTAATTGTTTCCAGTTTTTAAAAAATTGTCTACATTTAGATTTATATTTATTGCAATCTTTAATTTTATTTAGTTGTACATCTAATCGGAGATTACTTATGTATAATAGAGATCACATTGTTATAATTTCTTTATAGTAATACAATTTACTAATTTTTAGAATTTTAAATTATTTTGGAATATAAAGTATTAAATCTCTTTTCGGTCCCAAAATTATGACGAGTTTGAAATTGTTAATTTAATTTTTAATATTTTAATTTTTTTTTTTCTCTAAAAGTAGTGTTAAATCTATTTTCTAATAAAGAAAGCTTTTAATTTAATTTTTACTTTAAATGTAAATTTTAATTTATTAATTCTAAAATTTTTTATTTTAGATTTTTACAAATTTAAAATTATATTCCTTTATTTAAACATTTTTAAATTTTTAATTAATCTTCACTAGACTTGGAAGTAAATTGTTTCAAATTATGATTCAAAATTAAAAGTAATTAAATTACTTTTAATTTTGTTATAAGAATGTTAATTTATATTTTTTATTGATTAGAGCAACGAAAATAATTTTCGTAATTATTTAAAATTTAATTAATTGAATTTATTAGAATTTATTTTTTTTTAAATTTAATTTTAACAGTTTTATAAACTATAGTTCAACGTTTACGAAAATTCCCAAGTTATAAATTTAATTTTGAATTTAATTCGTACGAAATATACAATTATATAAAATTAATTTTAATTTATACTCAATACTTCGAAAATTGTAATAATCAAATTTACTAATTCAACAGTTTTTTTCTTTTATTAGAATATAATAAATTTGATCTTCAAGTCGAATTTGTTTTGAAAATTTTCAAATAATTATAATTAAATTTTAAATTAGATTTGGATTTATCATCACTGCCGCTTAAAAAATGGAATCCTTTCTTTGTTTGCTGAAAATGATCTCGAGGAATTTAAATTCTTGCTTTTCAGATTTTTTAGATTATTTAAAAAAAAAAAATTATATTGATTTATCTTTTGATTATTTCCAGAAAAAAAATTATTTTCAAGTAAAATTTATAATTTTATAATCATTCAAAAGTAGATTGTGAAAACTTTTGTAGAGATTTTGATCTTTAATATAAACTTCTTTATTTTTAGATTATTTTTAATCACTTAAAATTATGTGGAGCATTAGATTTTTTTTCAATTTACAAATGTCGTATTAATAATTCTTAAAATTATAAATTGATTTTTCTATAAATTATTTAGACGTAATGTAAAATTTTGTGGGAAATTTAATTTTATATAATTATTTTTCAGATTATTTTTTAAGATTAAAAAAATTTATTAAAGCATTTTTATTATTTTTATTTTATAAATAAAAAAGTACTATAATTATAAATTTGTTTTTAAATTATTTTCATTTCGAAATAAATCTAAAAGTTTCTGTCAGGATTATACGTTTATTGTCTTTTTAATAAGTTCTTATACGAATAACAAATTAAATTATTTTTACCATTTTTTAGATTAACAATCTTATAGTAGAATCGGGACAATCTTTAGTAGTATATTATAAAGCAGACTTTAGTCATAACTGAAAATGTTATTCAAAGTTATTAATAATAAGTAAATTTAATTAAATAACTTGTCAAATTAAATTAACTTTTACTATATAAATAATATTTTTTACAGTTTTGAAATCTAAAAAATTAGGTTTGATCACATTTTTGTTACGGTTAATATAAGGATTTCAGTTATTCTTAAAGTAAATGATATAATAATTATAATTTTGGAATAAACGTTTCTAAATTAATTAAATTTCTGTTAATTTAAAATAAGAATTATAAAATAAAAAACTTTTGTGGTAAAAATAATTTCAAAAGTTTCAGTTTTTATAGATTATTATTATAAATAATTTAAAATTATAATTTAAATTTTTTTGTTTTAATTTTTTAAAACTTTTTCTGCACAGCATTAATAGATGAACAAATCATTCAGTAAAGATTTCTGAAAGAAAGTTGTTTAGGAAATTATTTTGTAACAATTTCTTTTAGCTTTAATAAATAATTAATTTTATTTTTAATACAAGAGATCTTTCCCCATGAATTCTAATTTTTAAAATTGAAATGTTTTTAGTAGTTTTGTACAATATGATTGTTAAAGATGAAAGAAATCAAATTCAATTTTTTACAAAATTAATTTAGTTACCCTATAAATCTTAACTTTATAACGTTTAATAATTTATCATTAAAAACAATTTTTCCTACTATTTACTTTTTCTTCAACTTAATTAAATTTAATCTTTAACCTTAATTACAGTTATATATAAACTTTTAGTTTTTATTTTATAATTATTGTGGAGTATATAAATTTTGTTTAGATTAACATAATTTATAAATTTTTTAGATTATTGGATTCTACTTGTAATCTTTTAAAAATAAGTTTTTTATATATGTTAATTACAATTTTTTATTTTTTATAATTTG